GCTCACAACCGAAGGGAGGGTGTTATGCAAGAACAAGATGATGACTTCACTGTGCCAAGACCTTGTGCTGGGTATGAAGCTGCCCTGTCACTGTGGTATTTGCTTAACACCCCTCCCCACCTTTCCACTGTTTGTTTGATACCGATAGGCCTCCAGGCTCTGCTATCTCCTGGGAGGATTTGAGCTATTTCCCACATCAGGTGCTAGTGAAGGAACTTCATGGTTTAGCTTAAATTGCTTCCGGTAAACATGGGCTTCTGTGTATCAACATTTGAGGTGCTAAGGTGTCAACAGTGCCAGTGACTCCTTCACCATCTCTGTTCTCCCTGCAGAGGTACGGAATTATATCTGTGATGAATGTGGGCAGACCTTCAAACAACGTAAACACCTCTCAGTCCATCAGATGCGCCATTCAGGAGCAAAGCCCCTCCAGTAAGTGCACTTTGGTCCTATACACATCAGAGTGGTGTAATAAAGTAAATGAATAGACAGGGTCACTGATTAGACCCCTTTAAAATGTGAAGCCCTACTAGCTTCTTAAAGTGTGTGTGACCTATTTGTTCAGTCTTCCTAAACCCTGCAGCACTTTGATTAAAGAATACTGAAAACCATAATGTGGAATCTGTATGGTTTCCTTCCACTAGTCATGGAGTGTATAGTTAAATGTTGTTTAGAAAAAGGCCCCATCCAAGAATCTTACTGTAAGATGTTGGCGTTTTCATCAGAAAATGCAGATTGGAAGTTGAGGGAGATTAGGTAGCGGTCACATTTCTGAAAGCCAAGGTAAGGAATTCATTTAGAGACACTTCTCTGAAGTCAGGTTCAGAAAAGTTCAAATAAACTAGGGCCTGGAAGAAGTCCTTTCATGACTGGAAAACAGAGTCCTGGTGGACCTGCTGCCTATGCTAGGAAGTGTAGGGATTTCTCTGCCCTCTCAGCGTACCAGCAGGGAAGTGATGTAACTAAAGGGAGACATTTCCTGGCTGTACATTGGGTTTGTGACTAATCATGATCTGAACCAATTGTGAGTCTCCCTTTACTGGTCAAACTAGGTAGACAGTTATCTGCTTCCAAGATTCCTTTGAGCTCCACCCCACTGCACTCCCTTTGCAGGCTCACTCTCAAGCTTTCTAATTTGTGTTGCCTCAGCTCCCAGTAGATGCAAAAATTGGTAAGTAATAAGGACAGGTCACTGATTCAGAGAAGTCTGGATTGCTTGATAAACTGGGTGCAAACAATACGCATTTTAATATAGATAGAAACATATACATCTGGGAACAAATGTAGGCCATACTTACAGGATAGGGGACTCTATCCTGGGAAGCAGTGACTCTGAAAAAGATTGGTGGGGTGTAGTGAATAATCAGCTGAACATGAGTGCTCACTGTGGCCAGAAGAGCTAACTGTGATCCTGGGATGTATAAACAGGGAAACAAAGAGAGAGGTTATTTTACCTCTGTTTGGCACTAGTACAACTGCTGTTGGAATCCTGTGTCCAGTTCTGCTAGCCCCAGTTCAAAAAACATGTTGATAAATTGGAGAGCCCTGCAGATGAGTAACAGATTAGAAAACATGCCTTGTAGTGACTGAGCTCTGAGTCAATCTGTTTAGTTTAACAAAGAGAAGGTTAAGGGATGACTAGATTATAATCTACATGGGGAACAAATATTTTGTAATGGGCTCTTCAATCTAGCAGAGAAAGGTACAACTTCTAGCCATTGTCTTAGACATTCAGACTGGAAATAAGGTGTACATTCTTAACAGTGAGGGTATTTAGCCATTGGAATGGTTTACCAAGGGTTGTGGTGGATTCTCCATTACTGGCACTTCTTAAATCAAGGGTGGATGTTTTTCTAAAAGATAGAACTTCCTCATAATTCCTACACTATGTCCTGTGTTATATCACTATGGTCCCTTCTGGCCTTGGAATCTATGAATGAGATGCCTTCAGTAGCTTAGCATTTCTTGTACTGTGCTGCTCCAGTATCTTCCCCGCCCCATGCACAAGAGATGTTCTGCCGAAATAGTATTCGGTGTCACCTATCTTATTCTTCATATTCCTAAACCCATTTACCCAGATTATTGCTGAGCAGGAACAGAAGATTTTTTTTAATACAATCTTTTGAGGTGTGAAGCCTTTTTGTTCAGTGAGGAGTTACCCTAGTTTCTTACTAGGGATGAACTGCTGCGGCCACTGTAGTGTTGCTCTAATTGTGTTTTGCTTTCCAGATGTGAAATCTGTGGTTTCCAGTGCAGGCAGCGAGCGTCTCTCAAATATCACATGACCAAACACAAAGCTGAGACCGAGCTGGAGTTTGCCTGTGACCAGTGTGGAAAGCGTTTTGAAAAGGCCCATAACCTTAATGTCCACATGTCCATGGTGCATCCTCTGACCCAGACTCAGGACAAAGCCAAGCCACTGGAGCCTGAGCAAATTCTCATGTTGAATCCTTCAGGGACTGTGGAAAGCCAGGCTGTAAAACCAGAACTGACTGCGCAACAGGAGCCTACTTGAAGGGCTGCTGGAGGTGTGTACTGATCCAGCCTTGTATAAACCATTCAGCAGAGTGGGAATTTTTAATATACATTTTAATAGATTCTCAACAAAAAAACCCACCTCAGTGGAAATAGCTTCAGCTTGCTCAGAAACAAAAAAAGCTTTTACTGTGCTGTGATTCTCCATGCTTAGATCAATTTCAGCAGTGTTGTACTAAACAGTCTCCATCGAATGTAAAGGAACTGGGTGTTCTACGCTTCCCCACGTGGTGATAGAAACCAAGTTGTACCACATCAGTTAAGTATTTGCATAAACTGCAGGCATGTATGTAGTTCCTATTCAGATGGGTCTACAGTTATATGGGACAGTGGAGTGACTTAAAACAAGGCTTTTTAAAATTACAATTCCCCAAGCAAGTCTAAAGAGAAAAATTTAACCTACTTTTTATTATTAACAAGAGCTTCAAGGTTTTGCTTGTAATAAATTATTTACAAAGTAATTTGAATCAAGTAGTCCTGGTTACAAAGATGGAGAACAGCTGATAGTTTTTCCTGTCAATCCATTTCTTTGGATTCCACAAAAATGATCTTAGTAAACACTTTCTGCAGCTGCAGAGTTAGACACGTCTTTCTCTGCTGCCCTTGCCTTAGCTACAGTTTTCCACCAGTATCGCTCAGAAGAGGACTGGTTCATCATACAAATCCTCAGCTACAGTGAGCTTCCAGGAATGGAAGAGGGCAGCTTTCACCTCTGGGTCAAACTCTTCACAGGGATCCAGTAACTGGGAGGAAAAAGAAAACAACTGGTATTAGAGGCCCATTACTGCTTCTTCAAAGCAACCTGAGATCAGCACCAGCTCAGCCTGCCTCCTTATAGTAAACTTCCCAAAACATGCCTCAGCTAGAGAAGAGAGACAGCATGGTTTGGGGGTCAGGCAACAGCAGACTCCGTACAAACAGTGGATCTGTACTACCAGAAAAGTACTATGAAAGTGGCATTTAAATGCTGTATGGTTTGGGGACAGTGCTAGTTCTTGATTAGTCTTGCAAAAAAGACTGAGGACTGCATGCATGCAGACATTAAATGGAGGGTAGGCAGGAGCTTACAATGACTTGATAAAAGTGAGAAGGAGGAGGATTTAGCATACCTGTTGTATATGTACAAAGCTGTTTTTAGGGCACCGTGCAATTGAATGTAGCAGAAATTGACGAGCCTTAGTTAACACCTCTAAAGAATCCACCTAGTGAAAAGACATCAGGTTCAAGACAGAAAGCAAAGTCACTTGAAATCCTCACTTTCATCTTTATTAAAAGAATGTTCACTTTTACAAGTGGCTTAGGTACTTTAATTTATCCTATTTACAGATTAGAAGATAACTTCACCACATGTAAAATTAAAGTGCACTCTAAGGTCCTCTAATAGCAAGGTTAATGGGCATGTCTATTTTATGATGGCACTCCAACTTGATCGTTCTTATATGCCACACTGACAATTATTTGTATGACTATGGCACCTCCAGGCCTTAGGCAATATCAGAGCCCCTCTGGGTTAGGTACTGTACAAGTATCAACGGTATGTCAGCCATTAAAAAAAGTAAATATACTTTGTACAAGCAAGTGAATAAATGGTATTATGGCTAGGAGGCCTTCAAAGTAAAATTCAGTTAGGTAAGAGAAGAGAACGAACACCACTCACGTGCTTCACGCTGGGTAGGCTTTGTCCCCCCTGATCTGATCTCCGAGGATTCTCCCCTTCTATGTAGAGTCGAAGCAGCTGGGTATACATGTCAACAGCAACATAAAGGAAGGTTTGCTCTCTGTTAAGTAGGTTTTGGTGAAAGCAGGGGATAAGGCTAGAGGGAATCACACAAGGTATAGAATGAATACAGTGCAGGAGGAAGCACCTCAACAGCATCTCACCATACATCTTTAAACACATTAGGGGCAAAGGTACAACCAGCATTTTCACCACCTTGAATGTGGGATTTCACTATCAGACGTGCTGTATTCAGCACTGGACACTACTCCCACCCCTCAGAACACCGGGAAGTGTGAATGGACACTTCTAGCAAGAGAAGATGGAATTATATCATCTGGAAATCATAGTTCTGCCGAGTTGATGAAAACAGTAAGATTGCAAGAACATCCTGGAGAGCAGGGAAAGCTTTCATGGACTATCAAGCAGAAGTAGCATTAGCTTTCAGAGGGTTACAAGTGTACTTAGCTTTGCAAGTTACCAGTTTGTTTCACCAATAAGACACTGGCTACACCTGAAGTGGCCAATACAGCCAGGTTGGGTGGGGTATCTTTGCCATTGAGTAATACAGCCATCCCAAACTCATGGCAATCAAATTTTTCTATCACACTATCCCATTAGGATTTCTCTCCCTGCACACACACTTGTTCTGTGATTGAGTCGAGCTTAGACATGTATAGAATTGCTTAGAAATGGGCATGTGAGCAACCAACCACTTTCTTCTCCCATAAACAATTCCCTTAACATTCTTTGTTGTTACCTGTAGAACGCAATAGGCAACAGGCTGATGTATTGGTCTGAGGCAGCACTGTGTAGAATTTGATACAGTCCCCGGTCTGCAATATCCAAAGACAGGAGAAGGGTAAAATGTCTTAGATCATCATTGGGTCTCTCCAGATATTTCTAAAGCAGTGCAGATGCTGGGCATAGTGCCTTCCAGGCAACAGCTGGAGACTGTGCATAATCTGAAGTTTGGATCAGGTCACTCTCATGGAAGACAGGTTTCAGAGGAACAGCCGTGTTAGTCTGTATTCGCAAAAAGAAAAGGAGTACTTGTGGCACCTTAGAGACTAACCAATTTATTTGAGCATGAGCTTTCGTGAGCCACAGCTCACTTCATCATGCTCAAATAAATTGGTTAGTCTCTAAGGTGCCACAAGTACTCCTTTTCTCATGGAACAGTGCTTGATGGTTTTCAAGCCTGTCTCTAGCAGGTGGCACAGTACTGAATTTGTGTAACTTATTCATATGGATTGTCAGCTACTGTGTGGTTTAAGCTGTTTGGACTCAGCTCCCTCTAAACAGCAATTTATTACATTCAGTGAAGATCTGGCAAACCCTTACTGGGCTCCTGCCTCGACACAGCAGCTGATAGAAATCAAAGTGCTACCACGTAGACACCTAGAGTCATTTCTTTATGCCCCACAGGGGGCAGTTTTCTCTGTGCTGCTTACAGTGTGGGGAGGCTCCTTCAGACAAATATATTCACCAGACCCAAAAGGTAATCCCTTAAAGCACCTGGTACCAAATTTTGCATTCCCATAAGTTGGGAAGGAGAGTTCTACGCACCTTTCTCTGCTGAGTGAAAGAGAGCGAGCCAGGACACGCCTTGTTCTTCCAAGCATCCGAGGATCTCCAGGCACCATTCCAAAGATTTCTGAAACTCTGTCCCTTGCTGTGTAGTTCAGAAAAGAGCATGCACACCCCGGACTGAATTGCAGTTACATTTCAGACAAAAAACTGCCCCAGTAATGGTGAAGGTTTATCAAGAGTGGTGTCAGTGGCAGCATTCGTACTATTAAAGGCACAGACAGAGCCTCTTCCTCCACCTCTCTGCAGACAAATGCATTGATGCTAACGCAGGAGGCTTCAGATCACCCTGGACCAAGGTGGAAAGCATGCTGTAACCAGTGGTTATCAAAAGCTGCAGAAAAAGTAACAGCAAGGACCAGCCTATGACCAAAGCATTTCCAGGCAGTTCTCAGCATGTAGCCTTGGGCAAGTCGCTTCCCCGCAGCATCTTTTAAAAGGGGGAACATGTCACCACTTATTTCACAGAGTATTATGGGCATTAGTTAATAGACAGCATTCTCCAGCTCTACCCCATCTTCTCCCAGAGTTCATGCTTCTCTCCTGACCAGTTTGTCTCCAAGCCTCCTTTCACATCACCTCTCTGCTTGGAACAGCCTCTCAGATCAATCTTTGCCAAACACCTTCCCTTAAAAAGAAATCCCCAAAACCTTGTTGCACAAAGTAATCCAGCCGCAATGGTCCCTAACCTCTCTGTTTGGTCTGCGTTGTTAGATTGTCAGGACAGGGATTCTGCTCCCTCTTTGGGACATTATCTCCTGTAAAATGCCATGTCTATTTCTTGCCCTATGGAAAGTGACCAATAATAAATGCAAAATGCTATACAAAAGCTAAGCAGCATTATTTGTATTAGTTCAAGCAGTAGGGGAGTGAGGTATAAAGTCCACTGAATGGGAAGGTCTGAAAACAGTGAGTCAGCCAGAAAGACAAATATTAAATACTAACATGGTGGGGAAGGTGGTGTCATCATTAAAGGAGGGCTGCTGTGTTTGGCTTTTGAGCAAAGTAGGAGAGAGCAAGGACTTCCATCATGCTCTTCTTGGGACATTTCTTACTTCTTCCTCTAGCAGGAGGATCCCATCAAGCTTGGTAGTGCTGGCCTAAGGGATTTTTAGGTGGCAAGCCAGCCTTTTAAAACCCATACAGTCTAATGAGACAGGAATTAGATTTACCTTTGGTGCTAATCTGGTGAAGATGAGATCCATGAGTGAAAAGAACAGCAGACACACTAGGAGCTACAAGTGAAAAAGGCTGCATATTATTGATATCATCAATATTGACTTGAAATGTGTATATTCCATTCATGAAGTAAGCCCCCCAAACATGTCCCAAGGCTTTTCTGGCTTTGTCACAGGTAGCGAGATTCTTTCCAGGAAGACTGTGGCTCAAGAGGGCCCCAAGCCTGCACAGCACTCTGGGAGCTGATACAGCTGGTGAAACTAGGGTCGCAGTGACTGGAAGTCTTGAAGCCAGAGTCCATTTCTTCTTCTGGCAAAACTCCATATTAATCACATAATTCTTAACAGCAGGAATGAGGCTCATTGAAAGTCAGTAAGCAAAAATAATTGACAGCCTTCCCCACATCCACAGATAAGTAATCTTCAAGCAAGTACTGCCCAAGCAAAAGCATATTGCAAGCACATGCTACGCACCCTCCCACCTCTGGCAGTGCCCTCAGTCCTACCATCCAACAGGCCTATTATTCCTGTTCTGGGGCTGTGCCATTCAGTTAAAACTCGGGTGGTTTTGTGATCAGGGTAAGACCAACCCTGGTTTTCACTTGTACCATTATTCAAATAAGGCCTCTTTCCTTCTAAGAAATATGACAGCTGAACCAGCCAAAAAGATTTATGTACAACATATGTACACTACAGACTAGGATATCTGAGGGGAAAAAGCAGGAGCACACCTTTTAACTCCACTGAAATCCAACAGACCCAGAGAGACAGAATGGGCAAAAATATAAATAATTTGCTAACAAGCCAGGATTAAATACGAATGAGGTGTATGGAACTCCCCTAAAATTTACTCCACACTGTTTCATTCCCAGACAGGGCTAACTGATCCAAACACCACGCTCCAGCTTCACATAACAGTATAGTTTACCCTTCTCCAGCTGCACAGCACAATGCCAACCCTGTACACCGTGGAAAAAAGTCCTTCTCACATTACACCTGAGCAACTCCACTGAAGTCAGGGCAGTTGTCCTGCTGTAAGAGGAGAATTTGACCCTAGATCAGTGGCTAGGCAGTTAGTTTGTTTTGACTGCTATTCATTTAACCAAACTCAGTCACTGCACTGTTACCCTGTCCTTTCTCCTGTTTGTCTTCGCCATATGTTTAAATTGTGACCTTTGAGACAGGAGCTGTCTTCTTTTATTTCATGTGTGGTCAGTACCCAGGGTAACGGGGCTCTCATCCCTGACTGGAGCCTCTAAGAGCTACCACAACGTACATAAATAGCAATAGTAGTAATCATTGACCCAATGGCAGGAAAAGGCAGGACTGCTTATTTCCCACTCATGTAAGTTACTACCTGTACAGGGATAATTTTGTTGCATATTTTGAAATGCAAATTGTCAACATAAAAAGATTTCTCCAAGAACTTCCCTGCATTGGGAGAAGGCTCTGTAATTAAAAAAAAAAAAAAAAAAAGTCGGGGCAACAACACCTCCTTTCCCCTGAAAAAAATACTCAACTGCTCTGATTGTGCAGCTATTTCCTTTCCCCCTCCCCATGACAGTCCCTGTGCACAAAGGACACTGAGTTAATTGGGGAAAATGGCAGCCACCCGTGAGAAAATTCCTGGATCTACTCAATTTTCAGGGGTTCTCTGGCTCTCCTCTCAGCATTGCAGAAAGTGCCCTTATTCATGTCCTGTGTACACTTCTCAGCCATCAACCTCCTAGCTGAGCAGGCCAAGCTGGAATTCCTTTCAGACTTCACCAATGCTGCCTTAAACAGGCAGGAGACCTGCAGCCCCAGTGGTTCCAACTATCTTCTCAGCACTCTCCCCTGGCTTTTGGTTTTGGAGTGTGTGGGGAAGAATTTTCTTTCTCCTCCTCACTTATCAGAAGATTCCAACAAGCTGAGTTATACAGATCTGACACCACTTTACCCATGGGGTTTGGGGGGGAAGAGGCGGGAATTTAGAGCCACATCCCTCCCAGAAACCAGATTTAACAACAAGGTTTACAAGGGACAAGACAATAGCAGTGGACAGTCATTTCTCTTAGTGTTACAAATAAATACAATCAAGTTTATATTTACTAATGGTTTAAGAACAATTGCAAATAGAGAACTGCAAAGAGTTAAAGATGTCTAATCTTGCCTGCTCTGTATCAGACCCCACTCTCTTCAGCACGTCTCTCATTCTTCCATGCGCTGCTTGCTGTTGAACAGTGAAGTGTAGAAAGGCCGCAGAAATCCAGGGTGTATCAGATAGGGAAAATTCTGCTTCTAAAGAGAGGAAGCTGGGAGATGAAAACAATGTAATCATTCAGGAGAGGGATACCCATGGGTGAGAGCGAGGAGAGAAATCAGGACTTCTAGTCAAGGCCACGATAGAGTAAGGGATCAAGAGACGAGGTCTTTCTGCCTGGGAGACCTCTTTTCCCCAACTTTTGTTCCTACATATAGGCAGTTCTCCAAAACATCTGACCAAGGGATTGTGGCCATATGAAACCCATCTGCCCAAAGGTCAGGTCTGGGGATGGTTCAGTCACAAACTTTCTAACTCAAAAATCTATTATTTTAGCTTTTAGGACTAGTATGATTATCAGAATGGGAGCATCCAGTTATTGCCTACAAGGGCCATCAACTAGAAGTGTCAAACATATGAGTTCCCACTTCTGCCCACCTACTGCTTTAAATCAGTAAAGCTGCAGTACCCTGAATAGGAAGGAGTAGTGGTGTTTGCGGGAGGGTCAACCGATGTGCAGCATAGCACCAATATGAGCATTCATGAAAAGTAGGAGGATCAGAGAGAGGACTCCAAATCAAGGGGTGAAAAGGGCACTATGATGTCAATTCATTTGACTCACCACCACTGCACAAGGCTATTTTCCTGTCTCTGATGTCTAACAATAACTCTTGTCTTCTGCTTTATTCCACAAAGGATCTATATTTTCCTGGACTGCTTGGCACTCTCCCAAGATGAAATGGTGACATTCTCTAGCCTGTGTTATGTAAGAGGCCAGACTAAGAGATTATAATGGTTCCTTCTGGCCTTAAAATCCATAAATGAATCTATGTATAAAGCTGTCCTGCAAATCTCCTGTCCCCCTTAGTATGTCATACTGCCAGCGGAAAGTCCGGCAATCTGTTTCAGAGAGTAGGCTCGCACACTTCATTTTTCCACAGAAAGATACATTGCTTTGAGTGCATTCTCATTTCTGCCTGCAATCTGATATTCAGGATCCTCAGACTTACCTAGTAGCAGAATGCTGGCATTTCCTCAGTCTCTGCAATTCCTGTGCAAGTGGAGCCCCAAACAGCCTCTTCCACTGGGAGCAAAGCACCGGCTCCAACCTCAGCCACCACAGCTGGAAGAACGTTGGAAACCAAGAAAGTTAGCAATCACAGCCCAGGGAGTGAGCAAAGTGAGACCAGGGTAAATATGTTTGGTAGATGGGCCAGGAGGAACCGCATCTAGAACACTCCTGAAGATACTTCTTTGCAATTCTGTGGTCCTGTGTTTGTTAATCCGCAAGGTGCTAGCTGTCCATTCCTGCTTCTTACAACAGGAGTCACTCTGAGAAGGGATGTTTTTTTCTCAGCCTACCTTCAGCCATACAGAGGATGATGCGGTTGCATCTGGATTACTTATTTCTGATTGCTTACTCCGTCATTCCCATGAGGCACATGGGACGATGTCTCTGGCTGATGCCTGTGGCTATTTTCATGGTATATCTGTGTTCTGAAGGCTTTCTGTATGTGACTTTTTTATTTTAAGTGTGTGGGATTTTAGATAACTGACCAATTTGTATGTAATATTTTGGGTGCTTTTATAGTGTTAAAAATAAGGGTTTATATTTTTAGTGATCTCTGGTCAAGTCTGTGAGCCACGTTGGCCAGGTGGCTATCAGAGTCTTGGGGTTTCTTTTGTTGTTTTAAGAATAGATCTGGGCTGACGGAACTGTATGTAGATAAATAAGCAGAAGGTGTCTTACAAAGATGAAGCAGTGCAAGGTCATTAAATCTTTACCAATAGAAAGGTCTTTTGTGGCAGTGCATCTCCATCAGTACCCTCACATTGCCTTAGCAGGAAGTGTCCTAAGAAGCTCAAGGCCTAGCTGTCCTGGAGAGATAATCAGCACACAAACTACATGAAAGTGCTATAGACATGGGCATCAGCACCAGAGCAGCAAATAGAAACTTGACTGAAGAATTAGGCACAGGGGAAAAATATTTACTTGTGCTAATGGGTTTCTGGACTACTGGCAAAAAGACAAGCTTGCACTGTATATCAGAAATTCAGAAGCTTCTCCCACCTTCCCTGTCCTGCATAACCATCGGTCATCGTCCCACAATTCTGTTCCAGCCTTGTAACAACACTTCCACAAACAAAACAAGATTCCCCCACCATCTCACTTTTCCTGAGTCATATAAACAAAGCTGGAATCATCTGTGGAATATTAGGATAGTAACATGCTATAAAAGCCTCCAAGAGGTTCTGATTTACTACTTAAACAACACATTCCCAGACAAATGAAAAAAAAAGTGGCTAAAAGCAATAGTATACCTTTCAGAGGATAACAGTACAGTAGAAATGCTGAAATCACTGAGATACTTGGCTATAAACACGGAAATCCTATACTTGTAGGATAGTCAAGAAGGATACACAGAGAACAACTTAATTATACCCCCCCACCGCCAGCTCTCTATTGTCCTGAGATTCTTCTCCCTACCCTAGAAAACATTTAGCTTCCCACCCCAAAGAAGTTAATATGATTGGTTTTATATATTCCCATCAGAGGTCACAGAACCGTATTCCTCTTTACCATGGATTACAATTTTAACAGTCTTAGTCATAGTCCAGCATTTCCATTGAAATACACAATCCAACATCCTAACTTTTAGGATGCCCTCTCAACCTTCCCACTCCAAATGTACCTTAGTCACAGGTATAGGAATTTTTTATCTTCCCAATGCCATGCCATTCTCTTTTGACCATGCTTTCCCTAACCAGAGAAACCTGGGCCCCAGTCTCTCGCCACACTAGGCATTCTTTGCCATTTACATCTTGCAACTTCAATAAATTTCATGTCCACGTCCAATTTAATCAGGGGCCTGGGGGCACCTCTAGGTTAAAGATAGTTTAATTAATCTGGGTTGGATGGGATGTGGGCTTAGTTTCTTTTAGTTTAGGGTAGTGGTCCTCAGACTTTGGGGCACACTCCCCCTAGGGGAGATTACAACTCTGTCACCTTTTGGAACCACAGACTCATTCATCTGTGTATATATGTTGTCTTCTTTAACCTGTAAATAACTCATTTCTTTTTCCTAGTTAATAAATCCTTAGTTAATTTACTATAGGACTGGCTACAAGCGCTGTCTTTGGTGTGAGAGCTGAGGTACAAATTGACCTGGGCTAAGTGACTGGTCTCTTGGGACTGGAAGCAACCTGAATCTTTTGCGATCTTTGGTGCATAGCAACCACCTATCACTAAGTCCAGCTTGTCTGGGTGGCAAGGTAGACTAGAATACCTATGGGGACGGTCTATGAATCCATAGTAAGACTGTTATAGTGCTTCAGGAATTCACACTTGTTACTTGGTTGGTGAAATCTAACTATAGAACATACAACCAGTTTGGGGTGTCTGCCCGGAGGTTGGCACTCATGGTTGCAAACCACTCCAGACAGCATGACATCCTGGTGAGGGCATCACCAAGGAAATACTTAAACTAAAGCTAACACATACTATATTAAGGATACTAATTAACTATATACAACTAGAAACAAATTAGTCACTAAAATAGAGGAATTGTGAGGTGAAAAGCACACAGAGCTGACTCTCACCATGGATGGTAAGGAGGAACTGAAGGGAGTTGAGTCACAGCCTCATATAGTTTGGGAAGGGGCTTTGGCCATGAAGCATGAGTACCACCCCTCTATGAGTACTGGGAGGCACAATTCTTCTGCACTGGTGCATTGGGAGTGTGCACACACCTAAGTGTAATACACGGCTGCGTCTACTTGAAGAAGAACTTAACAGCTGACCATCACTCTTATCAGTCTCTGAAGAGAAGACAAACAGATGTGCTCGGGCAGCCTTCTCTGCTGGGAATAACACAGCGAAAGCAGAGAACTTTGCAGCCTGGAAATACCCTGGTCAGAAGGGATTGAGATTGGGGGAAAAAAAAAAAAAAAAAAGGCAACAGCTGGGGAGCCAGATGCCTCAGAGTGGATGCTTTTGCTGGACCACTGAGGGAAAAAATACAGGTGCAGTTGCCCTGAACTGTGATAACATACACACACACACACACATTACAATTGTGTCTAAATAATTCTGGGGGAAAAAGGAAATGATATGCAATACATTGCTGAATTTTATTAATTTTGTATTAAGATACGTACCTATGTGTGTCAAGACAATGTAACTAACGTCTTATTGTAAATTAACCGAAATAGCAATACATAAAATATTCCCTTCCATCTCCCATAACACCCCCTACACATCACATTCTAAGCTAATTTACAGTTGGCATTGTATTTTGGAGCCAGTACTTAAAATAGGAAATATAATTAAGAACATTTACCGCTGCAGAAGAAATGATAATGGGACATTTGGTTCGACATGTTTTCAAAACATCATTAATCCCTTGTGCTGATTCCTCATAATCCAAACTGGCATTCAACAGACCCTGGAGAAGTGGAAGTACAATGTGACTGCAAAATAATATATCTTTCCTATACATTTCAAACCCATATTGTCAACTAATAAAAACCAGCTGTAGGAGTCAGCATTATTCAGAAGGAAAATCACACCCACAAACCTACCCTGAACCTAGTTTTATCCTATTGTGAAAAATTAGTTAAAAATTATAATATTTCAGTAAAACTTCAACCCCTGCAGACCAATCTCTCACAGGTTTCACCAATTCCAATACAATATTTACATCCATCACTCTTCTTCCACAGCCACATTTCAGAATATTTGTTTGTGGACTTTATGTAAATGTCAAGTTCCTATTTTGGTTTCTCAAAACCACTGCATAAATGCACATTCCAGTTCTAGTAATTGTGGCAGCTCATGGTCCTAGTGTGAAAGTCAGCAAATTGTTTCCTTGCAAACAATTTCAGTCTTTGCATTGTGAGAGAAATGGAGGGGAAAGATTAAACTAGCAGTTACCCTTAAGAAGTGAGCTGTGATGTCATAGGAGAGTGCACATCCTCTGGAACAAATGTTCCTCTGTAACAGAATAAGACAGAGAAGAGTTTACTCAATAGAGAGTTAAATGTTTAAAAAAAAAGTTACAATCCTTTGGCAATACTTCACAATAGGGATAGGTCTGACAGTACAGAATAAACCTTTCCGAAAGCCCAGTTACTTGCTCCCTTTAGAGCCCCCACTCAGGACTTCATTTCTCTTGTGAAGCAACATCAGTCACTAGACAGTGCTTTGCAATTTCCTATCACCAGTAAGTAACACAGATAATGCTACTTATTGCCTACTGTAGAAGACAGAACTGGTTCTAGGCAGAGTGACATTGTTTGGATGAGTGGATTTCTCTTGCTCCACCTATGCAGGGACAGAGATATAGGTGGTTTGCAAGGGATCATTTAGCCAAGTAAAGTAAATACAGCTGACTAATACCAGAAGAATATAAAAGGAAGAGACCCCCCAGAAGCTGATGGCACAACCATTATGAAGCTATTGTTTTGTGTCAAATACTAAGACGTTTCAAAATATCTCATGGTTTTAAAGATGAAAAATTAGCTTATGATAGGGTCTCAATTTCCATATATATATGGCAGGGTGCCATATGCCTTGAGGTGTCAGGGAAATCAGAGACTTTGGGCTTGTCTTCACTACGGGGGTAAGCTGATGCTACTCCAGGTATGTGAATAACGTAGCTGGAGTTGACTGACCCCGGTGTTTTCACTGCGCTGTGTCGACAGGAAATGCTCTCCGGTCAACTTCCCTTACTCTTCTCAGAAAGCTGGAGTATTGGGGTCAACTGGAGAGTGCTCTGCCATCTATTTAGCGGGTCTTCACTAGACCCGCTAAAATTGATCCCTACTGCATCCATTGCAGCAGCGTTGATCTCCCTGTAGCGAAGACCAACCCTGGAATGCAAGTTCAGGGTTTGTTTACACTAGTACTGTACAGCGCTGCAACCTTCTCGCTCAGGGGTGTGAAACACCCCCACCCCAGCGCAGCAAGTTACAGCGCTGTAAAGCGCCTGTGTAGACAGTGCCCCAGCACGGGAAGCTGCGCTCCCCACGTTGGTAGCTACGCCCCTCGTGGAGGAGGTTTTTTTAGGCTATGGCTACACTGGCACTTTACAGCGCTGCAACTTTCTCACTCAGGGGTGTGAAAAAACACACCCCGAGCACAGCAAGTTACAGCGCTGTAAAGCGCCAGTGTAAACAGAGCCGCGTTCCCGGCGCTCTAAACTAATCCCCTCATGGAGGTGGAGCACCAGGACCTGGCGCGCAACCACACTCGCACTTCAAAGCGCTGCTGCGGGAGTGCTCCCACGGCAGCGCTTTGAAGTTTCGAGTGTAGCCATGCCCTTAGAGAGCTCTCTCCCAGGGCTGCACCACAACCACACAAGCTATGTTCAAGTGCTTTAGCGTTGCCAGTGTAGACTAGGCCTCAGTCTCTCACTTCCCGGCCACCAGAGAATGCTGCAGATTTCTATACTTCAAATGCTCTTAACGACTCTTCTAATGGCAACAAGAAATGTTGTTGACAGGCTCCAGGAGCCATAACAAGTGACCTATAACTGAGGAATGGAATAAAAAAAAAATAAAATGGGTATAGCCCGAAGGACTCCACCTTCTAAAATTCTAAAAAAAAATCTAAAAATGTACAACTTACTCTACTCAACCTGACTTAAACAAGGTCACAAAACTGAATATATTGTTCACAAATTGGTTAACACATCACCCTGCAGGTGAAAAGTCTAAACTGCTGATCAGTGATTTTACTCAGATATGCACCCATTTGTGGGATATTCACTACATCCAACAAAGTGGCAGATGACTTCATCAGACCAAATCTTTATATTGTATTTCCAAAGAGCCCTTTCTCATCAGCATAATATATTCATTGTGAATCCAGACAAACTTACTCTGAGTGCATTCTGCTGCAGAGAAAAAGCACACAGAGGAATACTATAGTATCAGTCATTGGCAAGGTTCATAAAACCACAAAACTTTTCCAGATATCTGGACATCTCCTGGAGTGCCAAAAACATCAGAAGCATAGGTTGTCTGAAGTTCCCACACAATGACAGATTTCCTGCTTTCGAGTATGATGATGTTTGATCCCTTCTCCATTCCCTACTCTCAAGTTTAAGACCCCTATCCAGAGCAATTACCAAACTTGCTACTGTTTGGGAAATTGTACACACCAGCTCAGTGTTTACAAAAAAAAAGAAATCTTCACAATCCAAGGTCATTTTCTTTCCTCTTCGACACATCATGATGAGAACTGATGGGGGGAGACACAACAGAATCCTAAAGTAAAATTTAAAAACATGCAGTCAAGAAGAGTACAGAACAGCGGTCAGGTCATATTAAGCCTGACTTTGATTTTCAGTAGAATTTAGAGAACTTTCCAAGACTCAATTCCTTAAACATCTGCTAGCAGGAAATGTAAAGATTACTCACTGGGGATTTTTCCACGTGGCCAGAAACGGATTTGGTATTTCAATAAAATATTCAGAGCATTTTCAAGACACAGAAACAATGACTTTAGAAATGGTGAAGTTCCCTTCTCATCCCCAGTGGGAATTAAAGCTTGTTAAAGAGGTGATGGTTGTAAATAGCAGGTCCAGGAGGTTGAATTCCTAGGACTGCTATCAGGATCAGCCTTTGGCTAAGTGTGTTGTGTTTAGTGAGAGCTCAAATACCGGGGTCGTTAGGGAATAAACACCTCACTCCACAAGATCACCACACTAAACCAGTAAACATATATATTCCCACCTTAATTATCACCCCTTAGGAAAATGGATGTACAATTATTTCATTGCTGTTGTGCTGTGTAGTTGAGTTTCTGAAAGTAGCTTTATCAGATGAGTTTCTCTCATTCTGGCATCCTGTTGGTATTTTACCTTTTTTGCAGTAGCACTTCCTGCTGCCTCAGTAGCCGTTCACCTACAGCAGAGCCATTTCCTATAGTTTTTAACCTTTCCTGGAAAATCCTGAATAGGAAGTGTCCCTTGTCATTCCAGCAGCCAGTGGGTGAAGTCTGCCTAGACCCTAGCTCAAGTACCATTTCCTGGATGGGAGAAAAATTTTTCATAACTTTACATCAATCTGCATTTCAAATCCTCTTTTACCCCACGGTATCAGTGACTGAGATGATTTTAGATTTACAGCAACTGCACAAGTGCCCAGAAATCCCAGCCCGGGATAAACACACAATGAAGTGACAGAACTCCTCAATAACCCCTGAAGTGAGAGAGTTCACCCTTCTGAACGCTACATCTATCCAGCATGCAGTTTCCAACTTATTCTTCTGAACTTACTTTGTTTCTTTAGGCTTTGTAAAGCACATTGGTGCTTGCAAAACATACTCTACTAAATTTGCATTCCTCTGAACTTTGCACTTGTCCTTGTTGAACCTCATCAGATTTCTTTTGGCCCAATTCTCTAATTTGTCTAGGGCCCTCTGTATCCTATCCCTACCCTTCAGCGTATCTACCTCTCCTCCCAGTTTAGTGTCATCTGCAAACTTGCTGAGGGTGCAATCCACACCATCCTCCAGATCATTTATGAAGATATTGAACAAAACCGGCCCCAGGACCAACCCTTGGGACACTCCACTTGATACCGGCTGCCAACTAGACATGGAGCCATTGATCACTACCCATTGAGCCCGACAATCTAGCCAACTTTCTATCCACCTTATAGTCCATTCATCCAGCCCATACTTCTTTAACTTGCTGGCAATAATACTGTGTCAAAAGCTTTGCTAAAGCTTCACCTAAAGCACGTCCACCGCTTTCCCCTCATCCACAGAGCCAGCCAGTTATCTCGTCATAGGTGCTATATGGATTACATTTCACTTTCCAAAAGCCAGATTCCAAGAGTGCTTGTGTATGTTCTGTTTTGTTTATATTGATCTGTGGGATCAGGAAGGATCAGATTGGAAGTTAGTTTCTTTGATGTCTTCAGCGGAAAGATAGATTTGTACCTCTGAATACTAGTCAGTTGCAGCAGAGATATAACTTGACTAGCTTGACAGCTAATTAGAACCAATTACAAATAGAAGAGCTGCCATGGTCCTAAAATGCCTAGTAGAACTCACTTTATCTTTGCAAGATGGAGCCCTTGCTTCTCTGCAAGGCTAATTTGGGAAACTCTCTACTTCAAGGACCTGCATGTAGGTATATTAATAAATGGGGGTGGGGTGAGCGAACAGCCAAAAATCAATTCTTATAACAGAATTCCACTTTTGTAAACGTAATTCAACATGTAATGCAAACTGTCATCGTCTAGAATTCAAGACTGGCTGCTTGCACATTTTCAGAAGCTTTGTTTCTTTCTCACAGCTTGTAACAAGGAAGGCTGGCTGGTTCTAATGCCTTAAGGGCATGTGAATTAACACACTAAAGCAGTGGAAAAAATATTCTGACTGATCTATCTTTGGTTATCCAGAGCACCAATCATAATATCTAAAAACAGGACTGTCTGTCTTCCATACACTGAAATTTTAGAAAAGATTTTGTCATGCCAAATTCATGGATCTGGCATATGGATTCGTATCATGATCTAAAATCACCTGTAATCTGCAGAGAATATCAGGATTGACTGTCCTGTTATGAACGGAAAACTCTGACTTCTCCAACTGTCCACAGTTGTCCAACTCTGACCTGGAATTAAGAGAGACTCCTGATGACTACCCCTGTTAGTTAGTTAGTTATATATTCAGTGACCCTATCTGTAACAAACTGGGAAAATGTCTGCATTATTTCTCATTAACATTATGTAACTTGGTTTCCCTGTTCAATTTTATATTTATGCCTAACTGAATGCATATAGTAAAATGAAAGGAGGCTGTAAAGAGGAGCTGTTAAGGACCCCAGGAAGAGTTGAACAATGACACAGATAAGACAGTCTCTCCGGTACCCACTTCAAACAACAGTGGCTGAGCCATCAATGGAGAGAAGGAGGCTACCTGGCTGGCACCATCCAAATTAGGATGTTTTTCTCTTCCCAAGGCCAGGGCTGAGATCAAAAGATGCTTAGGGGATTAAAAAAAAAAAAAAAAAAAGCTTCTGGCAGAAAGGGAGGGAGGTGGGGGCAGGACCTCATGGAAGGGGTGGAGTGGGGGCAGGGCCAGGAGGTTTGGGGGGTTGTACCTTAATATGAAAAAGTGTCAGTGATGCGGCCTTTGGGCCAATGTACTAGTCCTCATGTGGCCCTCATGGTGATTTGAGTTTGAGATTCCTGATTTATAAGATTTTTTAAAATTAGAATTTTTTTTAAAGAAGTCTTAATGATAGTGGAAACTCACTGTGGTGTACAGGAATGTATGCTCTATTCATACAGACGTATACAAGAACATAATTTGATGGTTGACTTAGGAAGTCAGAATTTAGTTTCTGAGGAAATCAAACACTGGGTAAACATGCACATCTATAGCAATATGAAATGTTTAAACAACTCTTGCGTTGACACACACACACAAAACATACCCATTATGAAGACATGTGTGAGGGGCAACATTCTATGACATTGCTCTGGCTTGAGTCAACGAGACTCAGCTAGAATTAGGTGGTTCTATGTGTGCATTAAAACCCAACATATAAACCTTTCCTAACTATGCTGTAGGTACAGAGTCAAATGCTGCTCTACCTTATTAGTTTCCATATTCACAGTAAAACTGTCACTGCTGTGCAAGTGTATTCATGTGAGGTAAAGTACCTTTGGGAGAAATCCAGAATTGTACCAATAAGAATGCCACATGCCTTTTCCAGGTTTCCATCACAGCCTCCAGAAGCAGAAGCTGCTGGAAGATACCACTGGTACAACGCCCAGTAATGGAAGTCGTGCCTGCAATATTGAACAATGGAAGGTTGGATTCATATCAAATGACAGGTTTCAGAGTATCAAAGAATTTTAGTGCTTCCTGTTCATTGTTTTAAAGAGAACACAGTACACCAAGTCAAATGGAATGGCAAAAAGAAGGTTGCCACACAGACCTGCATATATAATAAATCTATATGAAACTAGAAAGTGATTGCCCCTAGAGGAACAGATGAAAAACTAACAGCTCCCTTGAGGGACTTTTAACAATCCAGAGACATAACAATGCTGGGCATATAGTGTTTGCAGGTTGGCCTGTAACAACCATCTCTTGCTTCTGGGCATGGGAAAGTCCCGAGATAGAAAGATGTTCTAGTGAATTCTGTGGAGGTCAACGGTTACCTTGGATAACTTCCTCAAGGGAAGCCAAACCCATCAGATCTAACATACCTTGAGCTCTTGTTTAAGATGTGGGGGCATTAGGAGTTCATGCCCCAAGCCAGACAATTTATTTACATGGTCATCAAACTCCAGGCTTAGGAGCTTCTCTAATATTTCTGACTTAACTGGAAATGCATTTCAAACTACTTCCATTTTTACAGGACCGTTCTGCGCTTACCTTTCAGAAGCAGAAAGGATATCCTTCTCAGGCTGGACTTCTAGCTCAAACAGCAGCCACTCTTGGAAAGATAACTGGGAAAAACGCAGAGATTCAGCACAATAAAAGAACAGATCAGCAAGGAAACATGACTTCTATGGCTAGGTTACCAAAAGGAGCTCAGCCACCCTCTCTCAAATTACAAAGATCTCTCTCTCTCTCTCTCTCACATAGCAGCAGAGGAAATTAACAGTTCCCATTTAGTCTCAAGAACATTTCTGTTCCGGGAGCATTCCTAGCAAATCTAAACCAAGCCACCACTAGTTTTCAAAAAGACTACTACAAGTACACATATCTTTAATGCTTCTAAAGTGCCCATGCTCTGAATATCTAGACACCAGTATGGAACATGTGACAATATAAATCAAAGGAGAAAACAACAACAATTAAAAAAACCCTGTAACCAATGTTCATGAGAACTTCAAGGGATTGCATGCACTTAAATTGGGTGCCAGGAAAAGTTCATGAGCATTTTCAAAAATTTGGGCCTTCTCATAGATCTGTTTCTATAAAGGATTAAACTATTAGGCACACATCTGAGATATAAATATATTTATTGTACAGTTATAACTGATAAGCCTCCATGGTACTATTCCTGCATTACCATGTTATATCCTACTCTACTTTTTGTCAATTTCTCTATAAAGCCAAAATGCCTCATGCCTTTTCTCCTATCTGCAGGTTATGGTGTAGCCAGACAGCCAGCCCCCCGCCTCAGACCAGCATTGCTGGAAACACAGGAGGAAGCCGGAACAGGGCACTTAACATATATTCCAGCACAGTCTTTGAAGCTGTGAAAAGCACAGGTGTGCTGCTACAATGTGCCTCTGGGAGCAGATACAACGATTAAGCTCACAGCAGGCAGAGGCCCTGTGACAGACATGGCTCTTAGCCCCTACTAAATAGCGTGATGCACACACACCAACATCCTAGGTGGGAAAATATTTACCCTGATAAAAGAAATGTCCAGTAGTCGACACTTATTGTTTCTCTCCCTTGCAAGTGTAAACTACTCTTGCGAAAGCTGGCGTCACCCAGACAGACCAGCCTCAATTTGGCATAAGAAAGGAGAAAGAGAATAAAGGAGTACAGAGGTATAAGTAGGGGACCTACAGCACCATGATTTTTGAGTGCTTTTCACTATCTATCTGCTGGTCAGATAAGTGACAGCCTCCCAAGGCTTCTGCAGCTAAGAGGGTCCCTAAGCCTTGTCCCTTATTCGTCTTTCCACGGAATTGAGTGACCGATCCTGGCTTGGCACCGCTGGAATCGAGAGATGCAAGGAGGGTAAGAAGCACCCACACCTGATCTCCTATCTTTAGTGTACACATATTTTGAAATAGAGCTCTATACTTTGTTTTCTTTCTTTGGGATTGTGGCTTCAGTTTTGTAACTTGTTTGTGTGTGTAACATCTCTACATTTAAATAAGTAGGCACTAGCAATTTTGTAACCACATGATTAGAATCTAGCTTAATAAATTTTGGTAACCATTTGTGCATAAGCCTGACTTGTTTTCTCTGGTTTACTGTAAAGCAGCCAACACAATTAAAGAACCTCAGCCGTTTTGGCTCTAAAGCCTGGCCATTAGGTGAGAGTACTAAGAGCCTAGCGTTGAGTTGTGCCGCCTCCACGGGGCAAACTCTTGGGGCACCTGTCAGTCAATCCTGGCTGCCCGCTGCGAAGGAGCTCTGAGCTCTAGCAGTTAAAGTCACGGGTGGTTAGGACCTTGGGCATCCATCAGCCTAGCCCGGGCTGCCCGCCGCGAAGGGACAGTGCGTCCTAGCGGTTAAAGTCACGGATGGTATAAACGGGCATAGCTGGCACCTCACCAAACATCCTTGGCCGTCGGCTAACATATGGGGATGATGATAATGATAATTCTTAATGCTTAGATTTGGTTGTACACATCTTCAAAGTGTTGTACAAACACTGACTAAATAATAAACTTTTATAGGGAGCAGTTATTGCTGCTAATGAGTAATAATATTGCATCTATGCTGGGAAATCCCAAAGCACAGATCTGAAAAGTTAACGTTATGGTATGAGGGTAGGGACTATTACCTGGAATAGTTTCTCCTTCAAGAGTTCTTGGAAGCACGTTTGCTTCCATAAACAGAGGCTGGTTTTCGTGTAGTTTACAGAGGGACAAGAGAGGGACCTCCAGGACAGTTCAGGTGCTTCCTCCTCACGGCCAATTCCGCGAGCCTCTAAGCTCAGCCGTGGCACAACATACTGTAACTAAAATAAAGAAAGTAGAAACTTACATATTGCCATCAATGAAAAAAAGCCTCTGTGCAGTACCAATTACGTAAAATAGTGAGTGTGGAAAGAGACAAGGATACTCTGCCAAAAATGTATGTTATTCAATTATTTGGCAAAAATGTGTTTGCGCAAGTGGAAACAAAGTTGAGGTGTCACTAAAAATCAGGCTCTAAAACACAGAATTCATGAGTCCAGTCCTTAGACTTGGAACAGTATTGTTGTTACTCTCCTCTCTAATAATCTCCCAAACAGACCAGGAGTTAACTTGGTAGAACTAAAACGGCTCATTTACATTGGTTTAGCTGTTCCTCATGCTACCCAGCTACTTGACACAAAAATCCAAAACTGTAATAAAGAATGTATAGGTTGTGTGTGTGGAGGGAGGGCGGTGGGCAGGGGGCCGGGGCGGGATTAGATCAAGAAAATCATGGCATTCGGGACAAAAAAGTGATAGGATGTAGTATTAGACTTTTAAACCTTCCAATGCTCTGTTAGGAAACAAGAAAGCAAACAGAGTTGGCTACATAATATTGCACACATTATGGAATGAATACGCAGAGAGCTAAGGCAGCTCCCATAAAGGATTCAGGATAAATACTGCAATTAGTGCTAACCTGTTACAGTACAGATACCTGCGACAGACTGTTCCAGTGGCACTGCCTTTTCAAAAAGTGATGGCAACAGATTTTTTTTATTGAAACGGTTACCTTTTTTATAACGCCAGAGGGAAGCAAGTTGCATAAATCATCATGAGAGAGGGAAGGAAACTTGCACAAACAATAAGCAACTGCTGCAGTACAAAACCTGAGAGAAGAAAGAGAGCAGTTATTTGGTTTGGTTCATCTGTCATATCTGCCCCATCTTCCACTGCTGTTGCTTCCCATCCAGGAGCGTCCAGGGCCAAGTAAAAACCAAGGATATCATGCTTCAAAATTGTCTAAATACAAACTGCAATGATATCCAGTGACCACCTAGTCCAACAGTGTAATCATATTGGAACACTGTGCGAGCTATGACAATGGATTTTAAAGAACAAGGAGATAAAAGTAACTACTAAATCATTTCAAAGGCTGGCACAGGAAGTCTAGAAAAAGATGGGAATAAAATCATAACATACCTGGGAGAGAGACTGCAGTCCTATTTTGTGTAATTCAGCGCTGACCCAGAGCCACCCTAATTTTTAATATGGGGGTGTAGCCTGCAAAGACCACAAGTGCCAACAAAAAAAAAGCTTCATCTTGATTTGAGGCCAGGTAGGATCTGGAATTTTCATGGATCACACCTTAATATTGAAAGATGAGGGCGGCTTCAATCTGTTCTAATTCATGCCAATTAGATGCAATCCCTGGGCTCCTCCCAAATTTCTTATGCAGCCCATTGGTGGGCAAAGTTGGGGCACATCTTGTCTAAAGTTTCTACTTTTAAGTTTCATTTTCAAATAAAAACGTTCTAAACCTAAATACTAACATGTCCAATAGTGTGAGTGCCACACATTCGTAAGAGGGGAATCTATTGCATGACAGGACGTACTGTTCCATATCCCTGCCTGTGCCAAATCCAAGTCATCCCTAGAAACAGGGAAACCTAGCATATGACAAAGAAAGAAACTCACCTCATGCAGAAGGCTAAGGACTCCCCTGTCCTGCAAACAAGTAAATGGTTCCAGTACTCAGTAACAGAAAGGCCCTTTGCAGAGGCAACCTTGGATCCAATGTTCACTTCAGGAATCAAAGATTTGGATTCATTTAAATGAATCATAAAGGCAGCTAGTCCTAAAACATGAGCATCATTTAGGGAAGGACCCTGCAGCCAAACAAATAAATAGCTCAGTGAAAAGATGCATAGCATTTGTAACAAAGCAGCAAGTCTCAACTGAACCTCAAACTAATCAAGAGGCAGAATACTGCAACTATCCAGTGACTAATTCAGTGCAAAAGAACAATTTAGCAGATAGAAGGCACCAGTTAAATTAGATAACTTCCTCCTTATCTGAAATTCTGAAGTTGTTTCTGGTTAGCTTCTACAGCAGAAATAAGAGAATTCTACAACAGTAACGTGGCGTAACTAATTTTAATTACATCCTTGCAGAATTTTAAAGGCCAATGGCTTTTCAGATTCCATGGCATTTAGATTCATTTATCAGCCTCATAACTTAATCCTTTCAGTACAACAGGGTGAAGAGCACTTAAAAGAAAGAGCACAAGGAAACACTTAAAAAAATAAAAAATAAGAACATTGAACGCATGAGGCATAGCTCTGGATCTTGCACCTAGGTATTTAGAAAGGCTCAGGGTCTCAACTGTCTCTTAAAAGCTGACTAAGGCTGGTAACGGTGGTGGATATGTAGTTCTGCACCAGGTGCCACATCACAACCCCTTTACATCACTCCAATAAAGGGACTTTAACAGCTCCTGGGGAAATATATTCATTCTAAAGCATAGAACATATGAAAGCATAAAAGCATCTATACAGAGTTCTATGCTGCCTCCCCCCCTTGCAGCTTGTAGCACAGGGGATTGCCAGGACAGGCAGGAATGCTTTAACATACAAAATGGCCTGCACTGATCCAGAATCCAGGACACACAAATATAGTATAAAGCCATCTTTCCCCCCCTCACGATCCTCTTCCTGGGAGGATCCCACGTGGGAGGATCCCATGATCCTCTTCTTCTTCTGTGCTGTGCCTCCTCAGAGATGCAACACAGAATCTAGCTGCAGAACTGAGAGCTGTGGTCTGAAAAATTACTTAGCATGTAATACTGCCTGTACCAGCTCAGAATGAAAATTAGAGGGGGCAAAAATGGTCTTGAGGCTGATACAGCATTTACTCAGTATTTCTAATGCACAAGTGCTCCTTTTAATTCAACAACAGTGCCTCCCCCTTATACATTAAACGCACAAGGCTGTATAGTTAAAAATTAAAAAGTCTGAAAATACAAGAGTTAATCTGACCATATTACACCTTTTCTGCTTATGTATTTGCATATTATGTATATTTACATATTATGTATATTTCAGTTCATGTTGTCAAATGTGCATCATAAATGAGCAATGTGGCCAAGTTAACATTGCTGTAGAATCACTATTGTTTGCATTTTCTCAGACCAGGTTTGAAAAGTTTGTTAAAAATGAGAACTCTTTTGGAAAATTACAAGTTAATGAAATCCCTCCATCGTATAGTACAGTACAGACAGGTACTCAGTATACATGTGGAGAGATGAGGCCAAAGCACATGGTTACCATCAATTTCTTTATGTTGGGAAACTAACCTGATGATAAATAAGCTGACAGAGCCTAGTCAACAGGGCAGGTAAGACACGCCTGTGCCCACAAATCATCTTCACAAACAGAGACAAACAGAGCCCCTGCCTACAGAAGACACAAGCCATGTGATCATGTTACTGCCAAAGGTCACTGTTATCCTTAATATAGAAGAGGGTTTTAGAAATGGTTAAACAGAATGCATCTGAAGCACCTTTGAGTGTAAACGCATCACACAACTATCACTCCATCAATATAATCAATTCAGCACTATAATAAATGCTATTTATATATCCCCATATGGGCATGGCACTATATGACATGTAAAAATCAGAAGGTCCCAGCCTTATGTAGCTTACAATCAAGTCAAAGAAGAGTTGTCGAGAGAGATCTGGAGAAGAGGAAGGTTGCTGAGGGGCACAGAAAGGAGACTGTTGCAGGTACAGGGGTCTTCTTTCAGGATAGTTATTTAAACTGTGGTGAGAAAACTGTTCAGCACTGCCATGCTGCCAAAAGCACACCCCATTTAGGTTACAGGATTGTAGGCAGCTTGGAAGTTGCCAGTGAAGTTACTTTTTAAAGAACTATTTTGACCATAACACTTATAAAATTTTTGCTAACACACACACGAGCTAAAACACCACATTCTTCTTCCAAAGAGGAACTTCAGGTAAAGCCCAGTGAAAGTCAAGTCATACTCTCACAGTTTCCATTTGTCAGTACAAACATATATTTAATTTCTGAAATAAAGGGAGGCATACACAGGTTTAAGATCAAAGTGAAAAAATAAAATGCTGTATTCTTCTCTTGATCTTGTGTCTTCAGCACTAAGCTTTGTGCTTCATTCATTTAATGCTGGAGATGGCCCTAAGGCTAATGGCAGGGATGCCTAGACCTAGAGCAGCTCTGGATGTACCAAAAATAACCCAGAAGACACTTTAATGTCTTATGTACAAAGGCAAAGAAAAATATTCTTCTTGGGGTCTGATTTGTTTCAACAAAAAAGTTATAAAAAAAATAAATCAGAAACTTTGCTCCAGTGTCCCCCTCTTAATAATCCCATCTTTAGAAACAACGTGGTGTTAGTATTACAAAAAGGCAGCACTAGACAGAGCAGAGGGATATTTTAAAGGGCTGTCACATAGTGGGCAGCTTATTTCAAGGAGACTCAATGATAATGGAAGAGCACATGGTGTTTCTACTCTCATCTATCAAAGTATTAGTTTTTGCATCATAGCAGCTCAGGATAAAAGTGCCTAAAAACACCAGTACGATATATCCCGCATCATCAACAAGGGGATCTTCACAGACCCTTGTACAGTGCAGGTATTACAGGGCACTAAACAGTTTTGTCCTGCTTGCATGTATAGCATGCATCTTACCTGTCAGGAGGGTTAAAATAGGAAGCAGCTATTAGATTCTGGCAAAAGGATGTCAGTAAAAGATCAATGACCTGGAACAAACAACATAATTCATTTCTACTTTGTGGAGTTTGTCTCTAGATTTAGTTTTAGGATATGCATAGACATACATACAATTACCCAACACAATCTTAAAGAAAACATGTTAATGTTTATAATAGGTACACCAGATCACTGGTGTCAAGAAACTGAAATTAAAGTCCTGTGTTATAAACCCAGGAATGTTTTATATCCCCCAATTAATGTCCAGACATATTGTGATGTTAACGACATGAACTGGGACTGTATAGATAATTGTTGCAACCAAGGTCCTATAATTGCGCCAAATCTTGTACAAAGGGGGTCAAGTGAGGTGTCTATGAAAAGGTTGTAACTTGCTGGTTATAATTATGCTGTCTGTATGTGTATGTCATTTTTGTATTTGAATTTATGAATATTGGCTATGTACTTGTATCTCAGTGTGTTTGATTCAGAGTAAGCATCAGTGAAGCATTTGGTCAGCTTCTTGAGAAAGGACTATTCTGAATAAGTGCCCGATCACGAAACACTTAACTGACAATGGACTTTGGGAGACTCCAATCCACATCTGAGGAGCCTTCCTGGGAACTTTCAAGGTAGCATGTGAGCAGTGGCTCCTGCCTGGAAACTGAATTATGCATGGACATGTGACTTGCCCATGTGACTCCAAACTCCATCTTGCAGCTGTGATTTTCCACAGTAAGGACAAAGGGGTCCTTCCACATGGCAGAAGATATAAAAGGCCCTGGAAACCCCTCCATTTTGTCTTCAATCCTGCTTCTGACCTCTGGAGGAACTGTGCTTGAAACTGAAGCTCTGAACAAAGGACTGAACAACCCATCCAAGCTGGGATATTTGTACTCCAGAGACTTGATCGGTTTAAATCAGCAGTAATCCCATCAAGCCTGAAACAAGCCTGAACTAAGAACTTTGCAATTGTTGTATGTATTTGATTCCATTTTAACCAATTTTAACTCATCTATATTTCTTTCTTTTTATGAATAAACCTTTAGATTCTAAAGGATTGGCAACAGCGTGATTTGTGGGTAAGATCTAACCGGTATATTGATCTGGGTCTGAGGCTTGGTCCTTTGGGATTGGGAGAACCCTTTTTCTTTTACTGGGATATTGGTTTTCATAACCATTCATCCCCATAAGGACTGGTGCTGGTGGTGATACTGGGAAACTGGAGCGTCTGAGGAAATTGCTTGTATGACTTCTGGTTAGCCAGTGGAGTAAAACCGAAGACCTCTGTTTGGCTGGTTCGGTGTGCCTTAGTAGTGAAGGACCCCCAGCCTTGGGCTGTGACTGCCCTGCTCTAAGCAATTTGTCCTGAATTGATACCCTCAGTAGTGTCCCGCCAAAGGTCGCTTTGTTATATATATATATGTCTTGTAAAGAAAGCCTATCCCATCTGAAAGATTTACATAGCATACAGTACACTCCTAGGTCTCTTCACCAGACATCCAAAGATTTCTGAAAGGCTAAATATAAGTTTATATTCTCTGTAGAACAATGCAAGATGCACAGATTGGTAATACATTTACTGCTCTTCATAGACAAAGTTTTTGACAAGCACTGCACATGTATTTAAATTTATTCAATCAACCCAATTTGCTTATTGTTTCAGGCTCTACAATACTCACACACTGATCCTGCTGTTCAAGTTTTGGGGAACAAATGTTAAGTTGGATCAGAGAATTGAAGGATGCAGCTTCATTTTCATTATTGCGATGTCCCAGGACAGTCATCAGTCTCTCAGAGATCAGTGCAATCTGGGCTGGCACAGCTGCAGGAAAGAGCAGCATGAGAAGAAGAAAACCAGAGTGGGTAAGCGTAAAGGTAAGAAAGGAGCTGGAATTAAGAGAACACTTCCATTTCCAAGGTTGATGGATGTCAATTTTTAATGTAAGGGGGAAAAGGAAGGAGTGTATGTCCCATTCACTGCCTTTAAAATTCGCACCAGAGACTCTAAAATCCTGAAAAGCAGTAAAAGAGATTTTCCCTCCTGATGTGCTCAAAATGCAGAATAAATTACATCTTTTGGCTTGGAAACATCCAAAATGGCTGCCTAGAATGAAGGAGCGGATGAAACTCCTGCATTTCCAGCTCAGACCAAATATGTTACGTTACTGCCTTGCAATGCATCTCCTTGGTATCACTTCAGGAGTTTCAAGCCTCAAGTATATGGAAATGATTAAGACACAGAATATTCCCTGCTGAGGGATAGGGAAAGATAAGTCACTTTGTCATTATCTAAAGGCCTCTGTCACAAAAGTAGAGAGCTTCCCATCCTCTTCAAAACAAACTCAAATGTTCCTACCAACCTGCTTATAGAGTGCTGGGCATATTTACACCTTTAGGAATAAATTACTATGATGTGTAGGGTGTTAAATACTGAATCCCAAATTTTTGAACAACCAGAAAACTTATGTACTGTTCTCCAAATCACTAAGTTTTATTTTATTTATTATGTTTCAGCAGGTGCATCTTTCATTTGTTGGGATGATGGGTTTCACCATACATAAAAGCTTGACCAACGCACCCATCCTGACTGCCATTTAGAATTGTTTTCATAGAATGTATTTCATAGTTTAAGGTATCTCAATGCACTTTAGATAGTAGCACAAGGGTAGTAACTGTGTAGGCAATAGAGCATCCACTAGGCATTCTGTCATAGTTCACACAGTGCTAGGTACATTATAACTTACTTTATTGATCAGAAGAATGGTAGTCAGGACACAATAATTATCAGTTATTTTTTTGAAAAAAATTAATGGGATCTTTAACTCCCATCAGAGACTTATGACAAGAACCATATTTCATCTTCCATCAGAGGAAGAGTATCCCAATGGCAGCTCCTTTGTCTCCAATACTGCACTGCCAAACAGCTTTTATGAGCACAAATGCAGGAGTAGGGGTGGGTGCCCCCCAACCTTTTGACAGAGATGACTGAGTTGTCTCGGGATCTTTACTGACTTATTCTTTTAAGTTAAAAGCTTAACTGTCAGAAACTAATTAGACATTCTCAAAAAACAAAACAAAAAAAAAAAATCAGACCTGAAGAAATTATATGAATCAGAGAGGTTACAGTCCTCAACCACCTTTGGCATGAAGCATAACACTGCTGTTTTTGTTAGCATTAGCCACTTTCTTAGTGGCCTTCTATGAACTTTATTTTAAAGTAACTGCTACATGCCTCCCCACATACCATCATGTTTGCTTTGGTCTGTGATCAGCATGATCAGTTCATCCAGTTCAGCCTTCAGCTGTTCAACAGGCTCTTTGAGATGGTCAGTCTCTATTTCTATTGATCCATCTATATAAATAGAAGAGAGATGGTCTATATTATTTGTCTGTATTAGAATACTAGAAATATAGGGCTGAAAGGGACCTCAAGAGGTTATCTAATCCATCCCCCAACAATGAGGCAGAGTCAAGTACAGTAACTCCCCACTTAACGTCCTCTTGCTTAACATTGTTTTGATCTTATGTCCCTGCTCTATTTCAGAACATGCTTGTTTAAAGAAGCGTAATGCTGCCCTACAACTTTGTTTGGCTGCCTGCTTTGTCCATGGGTGGCAGCCCCCCTACGTGCCCTCCGGTGGACCCCACGGATCAGTGCCTTCCCCCTGCTCCCCCCGCCTCCTGCCCGCGGCAATCAGCTGTCTTGTGGTGTTCAGGAGGCTGTGGGGAGGAGCGAGGACATGGCGCGCAGCCTCCCCCCTCCCTCCTGAACACCACAAACCAGCAGATTGTCGTGGACAGGAGGCAGGGGAGGGAGGGGGGAGGCTGCACACTGCGTCCTCGCTCTTTCAGCCAGCCTCCTGAATGCCTCAAGACAGCTGTTTGCTGTGGGCAGGAGGCGGGGGGAGCAGAAGGAAGGTGCTGATCCGCGGGGTCCATCGGCAGGCGGGAGGCGGTGGTGGTGCGCGCATAGGGAAGCTGATGGGGGGCTGCCAGCCTGTTTAATACCTGTATTAAATTGCTTGTTTAAAATTTATATAATGCCTTTTGTCTGGCAAAAAAAATTTCGCTGGACCCTAACCCCTCCTATTTACATTAATTCTTATGGGGAAATTGGATTTGCTTAACATCATCCCACTTAGTCACATTTTTCAGGAACCCTGACCACACCACACGATCCATCGTCTACAGCCAAGCTCTGAGATACAACCGCATTTGCTCCAACCCCTCAGACAGAGACAAACACCTACAAGATCTCTGTCAAGCATTCTTACAACTACAATACCCATCTGCGGAAGTGAAGAAACAGATTGATAGAGCCAGAAGAGTTCCCAGAAGTCACCTACTACAGGACAGGCCTAACAAAGAAAATAACAGAACGCCACTAGCCGTCACCTTCAGCCCCCAACTAAAACCCCTCCAACGCATTATTAAGGATCTACAACCTATCCTGAAGGATGACCCAACACTCTCACAAATCTTGGGAGACAGGCCAGTCCTTGCCTACAGACAGCCCCGCAACCTGAAGCAACTACTCACCAGCAACCACATACCACACAACAGAACCACTAACCCAGGAACCTATCCTTGCAACAAAGCCCATTGCCAACTCTGCCCACATATCTATTCAAGGGACACCATCACAGGGACTAATAACATCAGCCACACTATCAGAGGCTCATTCACCTGCACATCCACCAATGTGATATATGCCATCAGGGGCCAGCAATGCCCCTCTGCCATGTACATTGGTCAAACTGGACAGTCTCTACGTAAAAGAATAAATGGACACAAATCAGATGTCAAGAATTATAACATTCATAAACCAGTCGGAAAACACTTCAATCTCTCTGGTCACGCGATTACAGACATGAAAGTTGCGACATTACAACAAAAAACTTCAAATCCAGACTCCAGCGAGAGACTGTTGAATTGGAATTCATTTGCAAATTGAATACAATTAACTTAGGCTTGAATAGAGACTGGGAGTGGCTAAGTCATTATGCAAGGTAGTCTATTTCCCCTTGTTTTTTCCTACTCCCCCCCCAGACGTTCTTGTTAAACCCTGGATTTGTGCTGGAAATGGCCCACTTTGATTATCATACACATTGTAAGGAGAGTGGTCACTTTAGATAAGCTATTACCAGCAGGAGAGTGGGGTGGGGGAGGTATTTTTTCATACTTTGTGTGTATAAAAAGATCTTCTACACTTTCCACAGTGGCATCCGATGAAGTGAGCTGTAGCTCACGAAAGCTTATGCTCAAATAAATTGGTTAGTCTCTAAGGTGCCACAAGTACTCCTTTTCATTTTTCAGGAACATAACTACAATATTAAGTGAGGAGTTACTGTATACCTAGACTATCCCTGATAGAGGTTTGTTCAATCTGTTCTTAAAAACATCCAATGAAAGGGAATCCCCAACCTCACTCAGTAACCTATATTCTAGGTACTTAGTTTTTCCTAAATCTAACCAAAATTTTCCTTGCTGCAGATTAAGCCCATTACTTTTTGTCCTACTTTTAGTGGGCATGGAGAACAGTTGATCACAGTCCTCTTTATAACAGTCCTTAAACATAGCTGAAGACTTATCAGGTCCTTTCAATCTTCTTTTCTTGAAACTAAATCTACCCAGGTTTTTTAACCTTTCCTCATAGGTCAGGTTTTCTAAACTTTTTCTCATTTGTGTTGCTTTCTGTGCACACTCAGATGTGGACAAATTGGAGAAAGCATGGCACCCAAAACTGGACACAGTACTCCAGCTGAGGCCTCACTAGAGCTGAGAGAGTGGAACCACCACTTTAAATATACAAAACCTAAAGCAATGATTCTCTGATCTCTACTTAGGGTTAATGTGAAAGCAGAATTCACTTTGGGATATAAAATAGTGTATATATATACATAAAACATGGATCTGCCACAATGTACAGAATCATTTTTATCCTCAAAATCATTTACTCCTGGGGGAATTCTGCACTACTGTGTGTGCATAATCAATGAGCCGTGCATATTTTTAATTTTTTCCCCAGAAAAAAGCTTCTGCTGAAAAGTTGCTGCAGTTCCTCCTTTTACCCAACAGAGGACGCTGTGGCGATAGAGCACAGCAGCCACTCCCAGCATGCTAGGGAAGAGAAAGAATGCCTTCTTCACTGTGCCAGCTGGGTCAGGTCAGGAAACAGGGAGGGACTATGGGGAGACAGACAGCATGGGGGTGCTGGGGGGGGGGTCAGACAGGGGCTCATAAGAGCTAGTGGGGGAGGACAGACTGGGGCAGGGGCTGAATGAGAGTGGAGGCGCAGGGCCACATGGTGACGGGGAGGGGGTGCAGGACCACATAGGGACAAGGGGTGGCTGAGTGGGGGCACAGAGACACATGGGGACGTGGGTGTCTGAGTAGGGGTGGAGGGACACATGTGCCTGACTGAATGGGAAAGGCTTGGAATCATCCAGGATCTGCATGGGGGAAGCTCCCTAACAGTTCCTTCCAGCCCCCCAAAAAAACCTGTTCCATACTTTTCCCACACATACCCAACAACCGTCAAATTTCACACCCAGGCTCCTTCCCAGCAATTATTTCCCGCTCCCTCAGCTCCTCCGTTACCCGACTCCCCCCAGCCTTGCACTGCTTCTGGGGGGTGCGGGAAATATGGTTCTGTATGGTAGTTTAAATGAATTATTACTCAGCGTTCTGTATTAAAAAGCCCAGTAAGGAATCTATTTGTCAAAAAACATTTTCTGAATCTTTTTTGTCGTCTGTATTGTTGCAGACATATTTGCTGACAGATATTTTGAAATAAACGACCAAAAATAATTGAAATTAGTGTGATTATATTGTCTTATTTTGACAAATAAAATACACAAAATTTTGCTGAATTTGAAAATAGTGTGCGCAGAATTTTTAATTTTTTGTTGCAGAATTTTTAATGTTTTGGCTCAGAATTCCCCCAGGAGTAAATAATTGTACCACTTGACTAGTCAGTTATGAATTTATGTCTAGTTCAGGAAGGAACTTAACTTTCAGAACCAAGAAATGAAGAAATCTTACTTCATATTTTCCTTACTATTCTCCTTTTCTTCCAGCCTCCAGAAATTCTCATAAGCAAACTAGGGAAATATGGTCTAGGTGAAATTACTATAAGATGGTGCACAACTGTTTGAAAGACTGTACTTAAAGAACAGTTATCAATGGTTATCTCTCAGACTGGGACGGTATATCTAATGTGGTCCCACAGGAGTCAATCCTGGGCCCAGTACTATTCATATGTTCATTAATAACTTGGATAGTGGAGTGGAGAATGTGATTATAAAAGTTGCTAATGACACCAAGATGCAGAAGGGTTGCAAGCACTTTGGAGGACAGGTTTAGAATTCAAAAAAAGACTTGGCGAATTGCTCTGAAATCAACAAGATGAAATTCAATAAAGACAAGTGCAAAGTATTACACCACACTACAACTTGGAAGGAAAAAAAATCAAATGCACTACTACAAAATGGGGAATAGCTGGCTAGGTGGTCCCTACTGTTATCCTGGGGTATATTAACAGAGTGTCATATGGAAGACACAGGAGGTAATGGTCCTGCTCTACTCAGCATTGGTGAGGCCTCAGCTGGAATAGGGTGTCCAGTTATGGACACTGCACTTTAGGAAAGATGTGCACAAATTGGAGAGAGAATCCAGAGGAGAGCAACAATATTGATAAAAGTTTTAGATAACTTGATGTGTGAGGAAAGGTTAAAAAAACCTGACAAGTTTAGTCTTGAGAAAAAAAGACAATTGAGGGGGGAGCTGAGAACAGTCTTCAACTATGTTAAGGGCTGTTATAAAGAGAGCAGTGAAGGATTGTTCTCCATGTCCACTGAAGGTAGAACAAGAAGTAATGGCCTTAATTGGCAGCAAGGGAGATTTAGGTTAGATTAGGAAAAAAAATTCTAACTATAAGGATTGTTAAATTCTGGAATAAACTTCCAAGGAAGGGTGTGGTATCCCCATCATTGAAGATTTTTAAGAACCGGTTGGAGAAACACCTGTCAGGGATGGTCTAGGTTTACTTATTCCTAATCAGTGCAGGGAGCTGGACTTGATGACTTCTCAAAGTCCCTTCCAGCCCTTCATTTCTGTGATTCTATAAAGTGTCTTTTCTCCCAGCAAGGCTGGGAAAACATTCCAGAAATACCAAGTTAAACGCTAAGTAATCAGATGCCCCTCAAACAAGAAAGCAAGAACTCTACAAAAATCTCCAGCTGGGAACATTGGGTTTATTTTGTTTGAATTGCAAAAGAAGGCAAGTTCCCACTTGTCACCACAGAGACACTGCCACCAGCAACATTTCAATTCAGAATAGTCCAGCCCTAG